CCAACCCCAAATGTTTCCCAGAATAAAAATCCAGGTATTTTCTGCCACCACATGGAGAGGGGAAGAGGTGGGGCAGCTGAACAGCTTGACCTCCTTTACCTTCTTAATGATCCAGTGCTGATTCTTAGAGCAGAGAATTCATGATAATAAATAATACTGTCAGACTGAAGAAAAATGACAAGAAAAAGAAAAAGCAAGGTTCTACAAAGTGGTATTTTTAACCGTATACCCTACTGCCTGTGTAGCTAAGGTGAATTTACTAAACTGCAACAGTATTAATGTTACTATATCAGATGGTAGTTTGAATAGTACACAAGAAAAGTGAAGGTTAACCACTCATGTGTCAATTAGAAGTATTTGAAGCAAGAAAATGTATGTTGTGGACAAACAACTAGACTGCAAGCCATGGGTACCAGTTTAAAGCTAGAGCCATTTAAAGTGATACACAGTGGACTAAACACTTCCCTCCAGCTAATGAAGCATGAGCAGTATCCAAGTATGGGTGCTTGGACATTCTGTAACTCATTTTCAATAGGACAAATGCTACTTCTGTAGCATTTTCAATAGGACAAAGCACTTTGTATATTAGGTTACAAATGTTAGCTAGTGTTTCAATTCAATATAAAAACAACTACAGGAAAGTAATGCAAAATACAATGTTGCAATGTGTCCAGTGATGACGGAAAAGGAACACAAGGAACCCCTACCTGACTAAGTTGCTGTCAGTGCATTCAGTCCTGAGCCTTCAAAAGGCAGGGAGGCAAGACAGAGCAGATACTTTTCATAAATCTGGTTGCTTTTCATACTCTCTTGGAGATTTCATGTGGGCACAAATGTATACAAGTCTATGCATCTTTGTTCTGAAATGAAAGACGCTTCAGAACTCTCCTCAACCTGCTACAGGAGCCGCCTTCATGCAACATCCACAACAATGTCCCCTATCCCAAGGGGAAAACGCCCAACACTGATGTGATCAGGCCAGGATTGATGAATCTGACTTTTACCACCTCATTTGCATGTATGGCAACCAGACATCTATGGATTACCTTTGATCTCTACATTTCCTCATGCGCTAGCAGCTGCCTCGGGGGCAAGTTCTTCATTGGCTGACTATTTAGCAGACATGGGATATATTTCCTGACTGTACCGTCCAATGCCTCCCTCTCCTCCCCTGCTGACAGCTACAAAATGGAGAAGACATAAATATGTCCCTGGAAAGCTATACCACCTAAAATGTTGGGGTGGAAAGAAATAGCTTCAAGCATTTCATTCTGCATTTACTCCAAAAACATTCCTACAATTCCAATAGTCTTCCAACAGGACACGATAGCAGATTATCACATTACAAACAGCTACAGCCTCTCCCAGCTCTCAGTGAAAGACATTTCAGCTAACAAGCTTTACCTTTGTCTTTGCTATCTACCAGAGGACAGAAATAGTGAGTTACCACAGCTAAGCTGATGAATGATAAGTCACTATCTTGTCTCAGCCAGAGAAACATGAAGACCACCAGAAGTGGGATAAAATCAGAAACTGGGTATGCCTAATTAAGTCTTCATTAATAGCCTTCTGGGATCTACATATACCCTATATTCCTTTTTTTTCTATTTTCCCTTCAAGAAACATTTCAAAGTCCTCACTGAGGAAATCTCCACTGGCCTCTATGACAGTTTTCCAAGAATCAGAATCTGCACAGGTCTCAATTGAAGGACCACGCGGTTACCTTTTAGCTCACATCTTTACAACAGATAATATGGTATTGTCTATGTTGAAAAGTCAATCCAGAAGAAATATTTATTTAAAAGTAATACATGAGGGTACATGAAGTGTTATATTCTCTTCTGACTAAAAGCTGTGGCATAATAGAAGCTGCCTGTAGCTCATATTAGCATTATCCAGGCTCATGCTACACATTAGACATGGCCCATGAAACACTCTAACCTCAAGGCAAAGTAATTCCTAATATCAAATGCTCACACAAAGACAGTTCAGAGTTGTGAAAAAGACTTCCCTTCAACCTCAATTTCCATCTTCACTTTGTCAAATGTTATTAAAGATAGCATTAATGTCATGGTTCAAAACCTATTGCTTACCTAAGAATATTTCCCTTTCTCTGCCACAATAGGCTATTTATTATTCCTACTCCAGAAGGGAGAGCATAAAATTATTTATGTAGTCAAGGAAATTCTGCCTTAAAAAGTGCTAACTGCCTAAAATGTGGGCAAATTTATCAGGAGTTGTTGCAAATAATATAGACAATTCAAACACTACCTGCAAAAATCCATATGGATGTACCCCTGTCTGCTGAAACTTTAATATATCAGATGACCTATTTATCCCAAGTTTTCAGAAGATACTTAGAACTTTCAGAAGAAGACAGCTTGTAAGAAAACCAACCAAACAAATGAAAAAAACCCAACAGGAACTAAATCAAACAACATTCAAGTGATGGGGGGACTGAAAAATAGTTTTGGATATAACCTGGGTAAAAATACTTAAGGAGTTTTTATTAGATTGGGCTTGTTGCAAAAACAGGCAGGGAATTTTTTAGACATGTCTTGTATATCCCCAACGGTTCCTATTAATGTCAACAACAGCACAGCATTTCTGAAAACTCCCTAGATTACAAGAGCTTTCCACAATACAAGAGTTTTTATAGATTAACTTCTCTGTTCCAATTTGTTTATCAGTTTAAGAATACACACAGAATCCAAAGGATACATAGGCTTCAAAAGTATATACATTGAAGAGACCAAGGCAATAAAAGAGATAAATTATCACCTTCTGGAAATGTTACCCTTTATTTGCCAATAGTAGTGACAATGCTTGGAATGGGATACTCTTACCAAACATATCTGATGACTGTGGTTAGGTAAGCAATACTATTTTAAGCACTCAGAACGGAAAACCAGATTTATACATGCAGCATTGTACATTTACTGGACGTAATTATACTTGTAATAGAAAAGCTGAGAAAACAGACATTCTAAGCATGACAAAGGCTGTATGTGTCTCTACTATTGAACCAAATGGACCTGGAAAAACTCTAAGCATTGAAACCAGCTGGCATGGAAGAGACCTTGTTTAGCCCAGTAAAGGCTCTTAGCGTATACAATGTGACAGCTGGATACAAACGAGTCCCTGGGACTTCTCAGCTTCAAAAACCATGCTGGGGAATTGTCTGAAAGGAATTTAGATGGCACATGCCACAGGCATGCCAGAGGACACTCTAACAGTTTGCTAGTACATTTGATTGCAGTCCAGCACCCAGGAAGACTCTTTCTGGTTTTCTAGAGCAAGTGTAGCCTCAGAGGCCAACAGAATCCTAAAAGATTACCAAAGAAGATCTGGTACAGATCAGTGTTAAAATCAAAGTTACACATTGGAAGAAGCAACCACAGGACAGAGTAAAAGCAGCTCCAGGTTCCAAACAAAGGTTTTGGAGAAGCCCATGCCATTTACAGAAAGTCAGACAGTATTTCTTTCAGAGACATGGCATTACGTTACAGTTAGTCTATAGGCTATACTCTTTTTCTTTAGTATTTCCTACTGTCTAGCTGGACAGCTTCCCACACAAAATACATCTGAGACTAGGACCTGGAGGACACAAGTTAAGCATGAGCCAACAACGTGCCCTTGCAGCAAAGAGGGCCATAGAGTTTGTGGACTGCATTGCCAGCAGGCCTATGCATTGGTGACAACCCATCACTGGTGAGGCATCAGTTGCAGACTCCTCAGTAAAAGAAAGACATGGACATACTGAAGTGAGTCCTGCAAAGGGGCTACAAAGATGACGAAGGGACTGGAGCATCTGTCATCCAAGGAAAGGTTGAGGCAGCTGGGACTTTACAGCCTTGAGAAGAGAAGGCTCAGGTGGGTCTTACCAATGTGTGTAAATACCTAATGAGAGGAGTAAAGAAGATGGAGCCAGACTCTTTGCAGTGGTGCTCAGTGAAAGGACAAAACACAATAGGCACAAACTGAAACACAGGAAATTCTATTTAAACCTAATAAACCCCTTTTTTTTCTACGCAGGTTGCCCAGCAAGTTTGTGAACTTTCCGTCCTTGGAGATACGCTCCTGGGCAAGCTGCTGTAGCAGGCTCTGCTCTGAGCAGGGGGATTGGACTAGACAATCTCCCAAAGTGATTTCATGAAAGCTATTATCAAGTATACAGTCTTTAAAAACATTTATTCCTTCATTTTATCTCTAACATTGAAATACCATTGTAAGTATGCTAAAAAATGCTGATCTACTTGCAATGACCTATTAAAAACATACAAATTTTAAAATTATACAAATAGATTTTTAAAAAGTCAGACTGAACTGTTTCTGCGCTACTGTTTTTATTAAAGAGCAATATAAAATGAACTGGGAGAAAGATCTTCATTAATATCCTGGTATAAAACTAGAGGCTGTGATCCTAGGAATGGAAGCACAACATGAACAAAGCTGTTCTCTACAAAGGCTGAGTGCCATATCTATTACTATATTGAGTAAACTCTGCTTCAAAAAGTCAAAGTTGTTTATATAAATAATAAATTGGCCTCATTTTGCCCATGTCCACAAACATTTCTTCATGAATACTGAGTGTAATTGAGTGAATATTTACTTTTAAGAAGGAATCTTTGATAAGATTGTCTGTGAACTCAACCCTTAACAGAAAGAGACAAGGAGAAGAGAAAAGAAATTATCCAAATATCCCATTTGGGACTGAGTGTTTATCAGAGGTATAAGCTCCTGACCACACAGAAGAGATAAGAGAGACTTGACATTGATGTTTATACTGTATTCTCATTGAAGACCTAAAAAATGCTTCACTATATGCCTTCTACAAATCCTGAGCACCAAAACAATGCCAAGAAACAAACAGACACAATATATGCTTTCACTGATCTGATTAGTAGCAATATATTGCATTCATACAGCAGTTTCAGACTTTGTGGTGTTACATTCTGTTTACTCTTCAAGCACACAATGCATTGGATTGTTTTACTTACTAGTAGCAGTAGCAGGACAATATCAGGATTATCACATGCACAGGCTACATGCATTGATGTCCAAAAATCCTCATCTTGATGATTTACATTTACTCCTCTGTCAATTAGAATTTCTGCAGCAAATGCATTATCGTAGCGAGCACACTAGAAGAAAGAAAAGCAGATTAGGGATGGTATTTTACTCAGTGTACAACTGAATTTATTACATACAAATTTTGCTCCATTTAACATTTAAATTGAGCAGATGATGCACTGTAGTTAAACTGCTGTGTTTGTAGAGGACAACAGCTGATGAACCTATGGAAATAGTTTTGTGGAGACTACAAATTCCATGTGCATGATTCACAGAATCCCTTATTGCCTGTGAAAAAGCACTATGTGAAATCTGCTGAAACCTACAGTAAAGATGGGGCTTTCTTACAGTTCAATATTGTCATTCCAAATCAGTGCACAGGCATCAGTGCATGATGATCACATCATGAATAGTGACATCTAAGTATATGTACACCCACACATACATATGTCCACATGTACATGAACTTCTGCCTTTTATGCAGTTCATAGCAATAATACACACCTCTCCATACTCACCCCTATTTCCAATCCACTACCTATACTGATTCCTACTCAAGTCTCTCTGACAGATAAATACTCTGCACACTAAGGGTGTGAGGAAGTTTGCACACATGTATGTTTCTGTACTTTGTTTTGTTTTGATAATAGAGATCACTAATTTTGCAGAGAAGAAGAAACTGGCTTGGCCATTGTTTTGAGCTTACTCCTCTCTCACATCTGTGACTTTTTATGGATGTGCTTATATACTTTAAAAGACAATCACAGCATCTAAATTAAGATCCTAACTCTGGCCTAACATACAATCTCAGTAACTCTTTAAAGAAGGATCCTCTTTCCTTCCCCACTGGAGAGAGACTACAGCGAGACAAATTCTCTGATTAGATACTTAGATGCTTTGAATATAATCCTTAATATCTATGCCTCTTCCAGTATTTAAAGCTGTGGAATATTTCCCTTTCCCAAAAAGCACACCTATATACTGAGAGTACAAATACAGTGAAATCTGCAGATAATTTGCAAGTGAGGATTAAATAATGATGTTGTTATGTCTGTATCACATGTGGAACCACACCATGGCATCCAATTTGCTGATCTGTATTAATCTGGCATGGAAGCCAGGACACTGGAGGAAAGGGAAAGAAGGAAAAATGCTTAACTGGATTCCACTCTAAAGTCAAGACAGAGCTGAGACATTCAACTGAATTTAGGAGCTGCATGTACTACTGCGACTGTGAATATAGGTAACTCAGAAGATGAAAAATAAACTCTATGAGGCTAAAAAGTAGTCCTGCTTTAAATGATTTCCAAACATACTGACCATTAAATTATAGAACAGAAATTAAGTTCTGATGTATTTCCTTTAGCTTGCAACTTTTCTGACAGCTCTAGAAACAGATAGTTTTGTTTTGTTACATCAGTATTATTCATTGTATCAGTAGTACAACTTTGTATAATTGAGCTGTTCAGTGTTCAAATTTTAACAAATAAGAGATAAGACATTTTATACTACAGATCAACATAATCTCATACCAATCACATTTTCAAGGCATTGTTAAGTAAAAAAAAAAATCTAGAAGGCTTTTATATAAAACAAATGACAAATGTCACTGAGCCATTTTGTGTATCAATAATAGATACAGAGCCTTTTGTGATTAGTTACCAGTTTGAAAACAGCCTAGATTTGTAGCAGCAATTTAATTGCTGCTGTTCCTTGATTCTTGTTTAATGGATTTTGTGAAGCAATTGGGCAATCTCAAAGTTCCAGGAGAAAATTGGCATTCATATACTTTGTTACTAGGTTGTGTTGGGTGATTGCATGTGTGAATTGATATGACACTATGTGCTTCCCACTGAATGGGCAACTCAGGCAAGTACTCTCTTTTTTGGTACTTCTCTCATGGGGTTTAATGAGAGTTCAATGAACCCTTTTGAAGCACCCATGTCTTCCCTGAGATACAAGCATATTGGGATACTATCTACAGATAGCAACAGAATCTTTATAAAGTGTCACATTTGATTGTTTTTAGAAATAGATCACATTTTTGAAATTAACAGAAATGGAAAAAGAAAAAGGAAGTATATAATGAACCAGATTTTATGTAAAATGTGAAGATAAATATATTTTCCATTCATTCTGGAATAAAACATTTACCCTACAACTGGAAAGAATAAACACTGATCAGGCTCCCCTTTGGAGAAAGCAGCTTACATAGAATTATAGTAGTAAAACGAGTAGTTAGAAGGGATCTGAGCAGGCTTTAACAATACAAAAAAGATGTATGCTAAATTACTATTTTGAGTTCTTGCAGGGAAATAAACTTGGCTTAACTGTTTCCCTGTACTATGACTCTCCTTTCCTATCTGTACTGCTCCCAAATCAGAGTCAAATCCAAGTTTCACTGAAATCAGGTTTTACCCTATCATCTCCAATAGGACTGGCATTTTCCTGTAGATGAATTATGAGTACTTACAAGTAACTCTGACTAAACTGAGGCAGTAGGTTACACACAGTTCTCTATTGCAAATTTCTTACTGCAGGAAGCTTTTGCTCCTTTTGAAGCATACGTGTGCCTGTGAAGCAGCAGGCACCAGTGGAGAGGTACTGAATGTGACAGTGAATTAGGGCATAATGCAGAAGATCAAGAACTGTAAAAAGAGACAGTTCAACTGCAGATTTTATCTGCAGTTAAAAACTGTGCATCAGCTGAACTAGACAAAGCAACCTAAAATCCCTAAAGATGGAACTTTCTTTCTTCTATTTTAAAATGCCAGTGAGACAGGTCACATCAGCCACATTGATTGTCTCCTAGGGCTTTCAACACAGGGTAAGATTTGGGATGCCTCAGTTTTGGGAATCCCAAAGATAACATCTCATATGGGCTGCATTTTTAGTGACTGAGCACCTTTGCAGCAGACAAATAGTTGAAGGAGAGAAAAAGAGAACTTAAACGTCTCTGTTTCAACTCATTACCACACCTTCCCCTTACCTAGGCCTCTATTTCCCAAAGCTCTTGGTAAGTAGCATGGCCATGGAAGATGGAAAACACAGATTAATTGCACAAGAGAAACATTACATCTTGCAAAGGCACGGTCTCAAGTGTGCTGGAATCCAATAATATTACAGGATTTTTTTTTTTTTTAATCAAGAAATCACTCTATTTTGTGTACATACTATGAGAAACTTAATCCAACTGTTCTAAAATGAAATACTCTTCCAGCTGACTTTTCATTATGTCTGTTACGTCTTTCTATTTATGAAGTCCCATTTATTTCAGCAGCATTGTGCAAGGAAGTTGGATGCAAGTATCTTAAAATAGTTTCATGAACAGAAATCGTGTCTGCAACTGAAACATCACAGACCAAAGTAAAGGGTCATAAGACAGGAATTTATGATGAGTTTTGCCATTGGCTTCAGCAAAGCCAAAATTTTACCTCTGCAGTATTTCCTTTCTGTCTGCTTGTCAGCCGTTCCTCCACATGCCCTTACATCTTGCTTCTCTTTTGGTCATTGTACACAGTTTTCCTTTTATATTCCAGCTACTTAATCTAAATTGCTATGCAAATAATGATAAACTAAATGCACATAATGTGTTATATATCAACATATAGGAAATTGGTGCAAGAAAATATGCAAAAAAAAAAAAAAAAGGAAAAATGTTACATCATAGTGTTTTTCATATAGGATCTGTGAATCTCTGAACTATATAATTCAATCTTCAGAATCAAGCAGTATTTCCTTTGTTCTTTCTTACTGCACAGATAATTTACAAATAAAACATTTCATTCCTCTTTGCTAGTTACCATTCCTGTGACATGATCCATCCTTTCATAAGCAATTTGAAAAAGACCATTTATTTCACATGCATAGCTGGATGCAATCATAATCACCACGGAGGGCAGTGTAGATAAAAAATTATTGCTAAGTCTTTCTTTTTGTTAATATGCCCAATCTGCTACTCAGTATCCCACCATCTTTATCCAAAGTCACTAACACTAATCTTCAATCACTCTTACCAGATGGAGCAAGGAGCCTCCTGAGGAAACAAGCGTATGAGGGTCAGCACCATCCTTCAATAGCCGTAACACTGAAATACCAAAGAAAAGAGGAACAGGAATTAATGCAGCAATATACCTAATTCTGAGCTGTTAATGGGCTGATTCTTCATCATCTTCATTAAGAGATTTAATAATATATGCAAACCTCTCAGATAACATTTGCAAAACTATCATGTCAGCATTTCCCATCTCATCTATTTTAATGGCTGAGCCTGGAAGCAAAGGACCTTTGATAATGATGTTAAATATGAACAGTATCAAGGACTTCTCAAGCGGACAGATGAGCATGTCAGTTCTGTACATAGGAGGGGGAGGGGAGAGCTGGAGGAGAGACCCTGTCTCAAGGTCAACAGTCACCTGATTAGTTCGTTTCAGAGAAAAATCACAGACAACTGGTTTTATTTTACTTTGAAGTCTTCCCATGAGATTTGTTGGCTTTTTCTGTAAATAATTGAAACTAGTGTTCATAACTTATATCACTTGAAATTAATCATCCTACCAAAGCTAAATGATCTGCACTCAATTTAACCTTTCCAGTGCATTGTCAGATCACTGACGTGGCATAACTCTTAAAACGATATTTGGAGTCAAACTCCACTCCCAGTTACATGTATCAAGTATTGTGTCCAGCTCTGGGGTCCCCAACATAAAAAAAACATAGAGCGAGTCCAGAGGAGGCCCATGAAGCTGATCAGAGGGCTGGAGCACCTCTCCTATGAGGACAGGCTGAGACAGTTGGGATTGTTCAGCCTGGAGAAGAGAAGGCTCCAGGGAGATCTAATTGCGGCCTTCCAGTACCTGAAGGGGCCTACAGGAAAGCTGGAGAGGGACTGTTTACAAGGGCATGGAGTGACAGGACAGGGGGTAGTAGTTTTAAACTGAAAGAGGGTAGAATTAGAGTGGATATAAGGAAGAAATTTTTTACTGTGAGGGTGGTGAGGCACTGGAACAGGTTGCCCAGAGAAGCTGTGGATGCCCCCTCCCTGGAAGTGTTCAAGGCCAGGCTGGATGGGGCTTTGGGCAACGTGGTCTAGTGGAGGGTGTCCCTGCCCATGGCAGGGGGGTTGGAACTAGATGATCTCTAAGGTCCCTTCCAACCCAAACCATTCTATGATTCTGTTCTGCAATTCCATGATTCTATGATCAAAACCCTTTAAAATGAAAACAGACTTATAAACACAAGCAAAACCACAAACCAGAAATCTGTTCCACTGCAGTGTCTGTCCTACAGGAGGGATGTAAATTTGTCTCAAGGCTTTTCTAATTTCTCTGAATCTGTCAAGAGACTCCTATACACCATCTCCTCCTGATCCACACATTTTTGTATGTGTTTTCTTTCTAGAATATCTTGTAACTACATTTTCACTATACCTTTAAACTTCTTACAGCATTCAAACATTCAGTCAACCTATTTGAAAGGGGTCAGTCTTCTTTTCAGATAGTGTCAATTTACACAAGCAATGTTTTCTGAATATGTTGAATGATTTTTGACCAGGTGCCCTGGAAAAATTCAGCCTAAGAAAGAAAATTTGGCTAAATGATGGCAAGCTTGTAAAATTAATGTGAAAGTCTAGGAAAGACTTGGCACCATCATTACTAAATATTTCACACATAGTAAACACACTGGTATATTGGACAAATATTTTTAATAGTTATACAAATCCATTTAATCTTTTGCTCTTTTTTAAACTTTGAAAATCAAACATCATTCCAAACCATTGTATAAATTCATACTTTACAAATATTTCCATGGTACCTATTTCTCCTCACCAAAGGTTTTGCTTCACTTAATTTGCATAACTGTAAAAGACTTTTATGTTCTGGTAAATGCCACTTTGAAAGCTAACTACTATTAGAAGTCACTATTGTCCCCTGCGTGTCCACCAAAAATGGAAGTGGAATATTAAGTCACGTGGAATAAATGAACTGTACAACAACTGCCAAGCAAGATGCCAAGCAGAGCAGGAGGGTGGAGAAATTTTTACAATTTTTTACAACCTTGGGAAAAATGGCTGAACGACAAAAAGCAAAGTATTTCTTTCTGCTCTCAGATCTACAAATCCAATACTAAAGTACACAACTGTCCTCATCCAGACAGATACTATTAAAAATAATGGTTCAGAACTAAGTTCCTTCCTTCTTTTAATACCTAAATTACTGACCACATATGGAGGTGCTTCTGCTACCTCAAGTTTTATTGAGTAAAGACTTTACTGTAAATCCTCTCTCCTTAAATAAGTATGCAACTACATCCTCCTTAAGAGTTAATATTTTCAATGTTCCTATGTTATGCCATTTCTTTAGCAGGCCAGAAAATACAAATTCCATCTCACTGAATATTTCTTAAGGCTCTGAAAGTAATTTCATTCTGCCAATCCCATCAGGATTTCACGGAAACTAATTAACACTTCAAGATGTTCCCCTTCCTCCATTC